CAAGCCCTCCTCAAACCTAACCTAAACCCCTGCAGAAAAGTTAGGAAATCCAGACAAAAAGCAAAGTGTTAGCACAACCCATGACACCCCCACTTAGAGGCAAGCAGCGTGAGACACGGGAGTCTTCCTTCCTGTGGCGTGTACACACAAATACCGATTTCACAAAATTCCGACTTTGCTACACAGCGTTTTGGAACAGGTCCCAACACCCATTTCCTGCAGAGGTCGTAACGTCCCTTATTGTTGAACAACGCGAGGGTTCAGTTTCTGCTGTAATGAGCGGCAGTGCTGACCAAACCCTTTGGGCTCTGCTGAAACACATTTGCCTCTGAGATGTTGGGGGCAGGGGACTCGCAGGCCCGGGACAGGCGTTCTCAGGACCCTCGTGAGTGTTGCCAAACTGTCCTCCTGAAACTCACGCCCACCTGCAACCCTCGCACTGGAGACGCGCCCTTTTCTCCAACTGATATTGCCAGATGGAAAGCCACAGGTTCAAATACTCTCTCCAGCTGCTGGGGTACTGCAGCTGGACGGGCCCCAAAGGCCTCGGAAATAAAGTTCTCTCTCATCTTCCATGGCCAGTCCACCTGGCATGGCCAACCACAGCGGCTAGCCGCCTCCTTGCCCACGTGCATGCCTGGATGTATCTGCTCAAGGCCTGCAGCTCACACCTCGTGGCAGGGCAGCGAGCTTGAGTTATAGCGGACCTGATTTCCCTGTACAGCTCCCATGGAGTTAACAGATGTACGCACGTCTGAAGCAGTCAGGCGGCAAGAGGCTTTGGGGCCGATCCTTCCCGTTTTGACAGTGTGTAATTGAGGTGAAGCCATAAATTTTATAAACAAGAATAAACGCCCCTTTAGCAACATATGTCTGCTTGACCCTTCCAAGGTGATCATAAATAAAGGCACCTATTAGCTGGGGAGGGATGTTGGCATTACAGATGGCCAGTGTGGGGGGGGACCAGAGGGCCTGTGACCGGAGATCAGCCACGGGGAGCTGCTTCTAGGGTGTTGAAATGGAGAGGTCACCTTGCACCCCAGGTCTGGAATCATCAGGATGTTTTTGTGCCATCAATTGGGTTGGTTCTTTGGGGGGCCTTTGTGTCACTTACAGCTGGTACCTATTTCTCATTTTCCTTGGGATGGCTACAACCAGGGTCCTCTGGGAGCTTTTCAGCCTAGAGAAGCAGCCTACCCCACTTAATTACCAGCCATACCCTAATAGATAACTTCCCAAGGAGGCCACCCTGGGGAACCCAACAGGCTCCACCACTACCACAATGAGACAGGTATAGCATGGCCCCTGTGCAGAGGTAAGCAGGCTAGAGGAGGATCCAAGCACAATCCCGGAGTGGCTCTTAGTGTACGGCACCAGCCGTGGTGCCATTTCCCAGTGTCCCAGCTGGTTTGTAACACAAGGATGCTCACGGTGGCTTGCTGGGCCTGCTGTGGGCAAAGTGCTTTCTCGGGTTAGTTACAGTGTGAAGATGGTTTTGACATTTGTCTGTATGTTTATGCACACACATACAGTTTTATTTTCTTTTTTCTCTTTTGGTTTTTTGAGACAGTGTTTCTCTGTGGCTTTGGAGCCTGTCCTGGAACTAGCTCTGTAGACCAGGCTGGTCTTAAACTTACAGAGATCTTCCTGCCTCTGTCTCTGAGTACTGGGATTAAAGGTATGTTCCACCTCCGCCTGACTTTTTTTTTTTTTTTTTTTGCACACACATGTATTATGTATGCATAGAGGTCTGTATGTTTACGCACACACATGTATTGTACATGCATAGAAATCAGAGGACTTGTAGGATCTCTTCCCACCATGTGGACTCCAGGTGTCAAACTCAGGACATCAGTTCTGTGCTGTACCCTTACCTGTAGAGCCATCTCACCAGCCCTCGGTGTGAGAGTTTGCAAAGCTCTTTATGTTTGGTGGTACATACTGGGATTCCAGCACTCAAATTTAGGTCAGTTGGCTCTGTGGCAAAACCCTGTCTTGAAGCCTGGCTCCATGCCTGGAGCTCAGAATGGCTTTTTAAGAGGACAAAGCTACTCGGCTACAACAGCTCCACCGCACCGACCAGGCCCATGGAGTCAGCCTGGAAGCTCAGGAAGTTGCTGGTACTCGGTTAAAGTAGAGTGTCAGGCACAGTGGTACACGCCGCTTATCCCTGGGCTACACAGCGGCTTACTGAATTGTGCACGGTGACAGAGCTGGGATCTGAATTCAGATAACAATAGCCAGCATTTGCCAGGGCCTTGTTAAAGTCCCCAGTAAGTAAGCGCTCGCAGTGACCACAGAGCATGAAGACTGTCATCATTTACCAGTGAGGAGGCCAGGATGGGAAGATGACCAACGTATCCAGAATTCAGGGGCCAGAAACTGACAGGCCTGTTGTCAGGGTTTAGGAGGCCAGCGCGGTGCTGTGAGCATGGCGCTCATTCACTGTCCTTCCAGCTCTGCACATCCAAGGCTCCCAGGAGCCTCTTTCTCTCTAGCTCTGGCCATTCCTTCTCACCTTCAAGGCTGGGGCTCCAGGAACCCTAAGTGGCTGCTGGAGGGAGGTGCCCCATGGATTTGCACTTAACTCTTGAAGAAGGTGTTGCTATTTCGTTTGATACAGGGTTTTGCTATGTTGCCCAGGCTGGTCTTAAACTCCAAAGTTGTTCAGACAATCCACCTGCCTCAGCCTTCCATGTAGTTGGGACAACAGGCATGTGCGCACTCCCAACTTGCATGGGAGTCTTACCTTGGGGTTACATGGATTTCCAGGATGCACACCAACTTGACAGCCAACCTCGAAAGAACATGTGCAGCACCCTAGAGTATGTGCACAGCTCCCTCCAGGGTTCTAAAGGTGACAAATGATGGTTCTGGGAGTTGATTCCATAAATGACTAGGAGAACCCCTCCCTAGAGCTCCCAGACTCCTAGTCTGCTCATCCTCTGCCTGGACAGAGTCCAGGAGGGACTCAGAGGTCGGCTATGGGTCATGACAGCAGAGGCCACACCCTCTATACCCCTAAAGGCAAATTTATTCCTCTCAGTGATCAAGACAGGACCAGCTTGGGCTCAGCACTACCAGCGGGATCCTCAAACCCCGTTTGGGGAGAGAGATGAGCCACAAATCCTTCCAGGCATTGATTTATGTATCACTCATGCGGAATTTATTACACAAAGAATTTTATTCAATTAAACTTGAAATGCGCCTGGATTCTTAAAGGTTCAGTCGTGATCACTGGGACAGAGGGATCATAAAACTGGATGGGCTGTTGGGAGGTGCTGGGGAGGTAAGGGTGACATTGCAGCTGACAGGGGACTCGGAACTGGGGACGTTTATCACTGGGATGTGCTACAAGTTCAGGCTCTGGAAATTACTCAGTGAAAAATGCACATTAACAACAGCCATGAAATATCAGTTAAGGGAAACTCTGCTGAGAAATGTGACAGCCGATCTATTAGCGCCTGCCACAGCCCAGGTTGTGATTAAAATGACTATCAAGTGCCGGTGGGCTTGGGGGTGGGGGTCAGAGTCCACAGCCCAGGCCAGCTCTGAGTCTCAGTTTCCCTTCCATGCCTGGGGCCCTTCTGTAGCACCCGCACTGCTGAAGGCTCACCTCTGGTAATGATGGTGAATACTGTTCTGATGAGCCTGTCCTGAACTAGAGGGCGTCTTCCTGGGTGCGAGTTATGGGGCGGCCAAAACTCTGCAATATCAGAAAACCCACTGGACTGTCCATTTGAAAAAGTTTGTGGTAAGTGGGATTGTATCTCAATAAAATGGCTACTTATATTAAAAAGAAAAGGCATGGAGGCTTCCTGCAATATTTTCAAGGGGTGGATTATGCAAAAAGGGAGTGATCAATGATAAATGGTTATAATTTAAAGAACAGTTCTGCAGCTGTGTTAGCGTGTAGTGGCAATCACCCCATGGGGATTGTGGATAGTGTGTACCCTGTGAGTCACCCAAAACCCGGGCGGGGTGTTGGAAGCAGGCAGGGTGTGGGCTGGGGGTGCAGGTTTGTTATCTTCCTGAGTCCACCCTGTCCCTTCTGGAGGACCTGTGGCCTCAGACAGAGCAGAGGGGCTGCTGCAAGTGCTTAGAACACGGCTTTCCAGCCAGGCCCGGGATAGTGATTCTGAGGCACGAGCTGGCGCTCCTGTTTTATTTCCGGGCTTGCACACACATCACCAACTCCGTACCCTCACTATGGTGGCTGCAGTGGCACTGGACAGGACTTCCCCTGGGGGAAGGGTATTTATTCCTCCCTCCCAGAGACACTCATGAAGCTGTTCACCTGGGAGAGCCGCAGGGAGGTGGGGAGGGCCTTGGCTGAAGTCAAACCCTTGCTGACTGATGACCAACCAGGCAGGCAGCTGGAGGGGCCAGCCCACCACACCTGGCGTGGAAGGCATGCAAACAGGTGCACAGTGAGCGACCCGAGCCCAGTCCCGGCTGTCCCTGGCCTGCACTTGTGCAGTCACTGCCCACTGCATGGGACCCTCAGGATCGGGGCTGCCTCCAGCCTTTCATAAATATCCCTCTTCCCAAGGACGCAGCTGCCACCGGCGATGTCATTTCATAGCAGCAGTGACAAGTGGAATGAAACACAGGCGTCGTATGGACCACAGAAGCATAAACCAGCCCAGTGCGACACCGGAGGGCGGGCTCAGTGCTAGCCTGAGGACCTCATTTCCACGGCTGCCGTGGGGGGGGGGGCTCCTGCCCTGACGGAGGATTCTCCAAGTCGCACCCCTGTGGACCTTCAGCTGTCTTTCCCCTCACTGTGGCAGTGATGGGCGGCTCAAGGGTGACTAAACTCAAGCCTGCCTGCCTTTCCCTTTATAAATGTGACATTTAAAGCCCCGTCGGCACAGGTAAATCACAATTACATTTCCAGGAGCCTCTGGTACATTCCAACTCCTTGAGCAGCCTGAGTTGGCAGCAGCCTCTCCCTCCCCTCCCCCCACACACACCCCGAGTGCACAGTTCAAACCTTCCCCACGTTTATTCCCGATGCTGAGAGGCCCCTCCCCTTCGCAGCCTTCAGTGTTCCTTTCCTCCCCGCAGTCCTGAACTGGGAACTCACTCCCAAGTGCCCGGGAAGGCGCAGCCTGGGGGAGCCAGCAGGAGTCTGAGAGGTCCCTTGGGAGAACGGTAGGGGGTGTGAGGTGCTGCTTCCGTCGTGTGAGCTGTCCTCCGGTTTGCCATGGTCTCTCCGAGAGGCCCGTGGATCTCTCCGCCCCGCGTCTTCACGTGTCAGGCATCACGCTACTTGTATATTTTTTCTTGGTTGCCCTCCTTCATGGCTGCATATCTGGCCACGGTGAAGAGGTAATCGCTGAGTCTGGAGGGGCCGAGAGGAGCAACAGGAAGGGTGTGGCCTAGCTAATCTAGAAGAAAGGGTGACCCTCGCACCCCCAGGAGCATGGTGTGGTAAGAGTGGGGAGTCCACCCTCTTGGCATGTCGCACGGCTGGGCTGGAGCACCCCTGTGGGCACAGGCTATCGCCCACCCTGAGCCCTAGGGTGCAGCCTAGGGACTCCTGCCTACTTGAGCTCCATCTGCATTTCCCCAAGACAGGCTGGCATCATCTGGGGTTCAGGAGAGCTGCGCAGTCTGCAGCCCAGCCCCCATTCCAGGCCGTACCAGGAGTCTGTTTGCACAAAGGCGCCTTAGGTGGGTCTTTATCTTGGAGCTACCTACATTTTGGATTATTCTTTATGGTTGGGGCTCTCCCGTGCATGTGGAATGGATGATGGCATCCTTGGTCTCAACAGGCTGACAGTTGTACCCAGAACTAAGTACAACCGGCCAGGCTGTCTCTAGACTCTGCCAGTGTCCCACTTGAGAACCAGGGGCCTGGAGGAGTCTCATGTTCGGAGCCAGCAGACCCAGCAGTGACGGGCTCAGGGCAAGGGGACAGAGAACGCCAGACGATGCTACACCTGCTCGAGGATTTATGGAGGCTCACAGCAAGCTTGTCGCTCCTACCCTGACCCCAGCTCCATAGACCCTCCCTTCCATCCTGCACCGCTCCTACTGCTGGGGCCCTAACTCCGGGATGAGAGCCTACTGTGGCACCGCCCTTCTGAGCCCCGGGTTCCTAGGGCAGCTGCGCTCTGGTGGCTCCTGGGAGCCTGCAGGGAGGGAATGGCCTGCCCTGACCTGCACAACAATGCAGGCCCAGCCAGTCTCCTTGGGGTTGCTGCGTCTGAGTTAAAAAGGAGCCATCTCTTAATCGGTCTGGGTGACATCCCACCCAGGTGAAAGGGAACCTGTGAGGGTCGGAGCCAGTCCACATCCTGGGGGACAGGGCTGCCTGCAAACAGTGCACATATCAACATACTTGGGTGGGGGCGAGGGAGGGGCGTGTGGCCTTAGCCCTGGCTGCGCTGAGGCTTACTGCACCGATGCAGCCCACCACGGTGCCTGGTGGTTCAGACACCCGCCGTCCTCCACTTAAGTACCTGTTTAAGAACTTGGCCACGTTTGCATCTGTTTCTCCCATCTGCACAAGAGGCACCACACTGTGAAGAGGGGACACAGTCAGCTGTCACAGCCAGTGTCAACACACGGGAGCCTGGGGCACAGGTCACCGCCGGACCTCCCCACTCCAGCAGGTAAGCTGATGGTGCGCTGGCCAACAGCCCGGCCTGCTGGCCTTTGTGTCAACAAGCATGGTCTCCGCTCCTGCGTGAGCAGGGCTATCAGCTGCTAGTCTTCAATGAAGGGTTTATGTGGCCCTTAATCTTCCCAAGGAGCTACTGGCTCTAAATTGCAATTCTAAACGCCTAGGGGTTCCGCGCTAATCTGCTGGGTGCCATGGCATAATTACACCCCAGCCCATCCCCACACTTCCTAACCCCTGTTGGTACTCTCCCCTGAGCCAGCTTGGGGGAGGGGGTGGCCCAGAAGTCTCAGGCCTAGGAAGGCCTGTAGGCACCTCCCACTCAGCACGGTTTCTTCACCCAGGTGCGCTGAGGGCACCCTGGGGGGTCACTGGGTCACCGCCATGGTTGGATGGCTGGGGCCTCCTCTGTCAGTCTTGTGCTGAGCTTGTGGGTCACCCCCGCCACTGCTGTAAGCCCCTGACATGGGACACGGGTGACTCTGTACAAATGACTATTTTCCTTCTGAGGGCCAAGCACTGGGAGGAGCCCCTGAGACTGCGCACACTGAGTTCGGAGACGAGGCAAGGGCCGTAGATGGTTGGACTATGGGCAGCTCCCATAGTCCTGGGTCTTCCCTACCCGCAGGGCCCCTAGGACCCTTTCACGTTACCCTCCTCTCCCCCCATATCCGACGGCCTGGAAAGTGGGGGGAACTGCTTGTCCTCTGAGCGGGATGCAGTAACCTATCCCAGTCCCCTCTGCGAGAACGGGACTCAGGACTACATGAAGAAGACAACTAGGGGAGGGTCGGGCGGCACTCTATGACAAGCTCCTGCGGTCTCTGGGACCCTTACCGTCGCTCGGCTCGGCGGCACACGGTCCGGCAGAAGTGCAGGGCTGAGCTGCTCTTACCCCCAGACTGGAAGAGAGAGTGCATGAGCCAGCATGGCCCCCTGCAGCCCTACCAGACACACCCCGGCCTGCCCTCAGTGGCAGGAAAGGGGCAGCCTTGTTGTGGTAAAAGCCAAAGTTGGGAATAATGGCAACCCCAGGTGTTTGTCACTACACCCACCCTGGCCACCCCACGGTGAGCCCCCCAATACCTACAGGCAGAATGAAAGCTCTGAGTGGGGGTAGCTGGCTGGAGTACTTGTCAATCCACTGTTCCAGCTCCAAGATAGGCCCTTCCTCGAAGGCCGTGAGCTCTGAGGAGTCAGGGGCAGAGACGCCGCTCCTGTAAGCATGCCGCTAGTCCACTGGGAAACACCCCTTCCCTCCTCCATGGGTACCCTGCCAATGGTTCCCCTCAGCTTCCATGCTAACTTCTCTCCCTAGAACAAGTTGTCTGCCCTGCCATGGAACTCTGGAACCTACTATACTCAGGGGCAGCCCCCACCCCAGGACCCTGAGAAGTCCCTGAGCAGGGCTGGCAGTTACTTAAGTGAGCTTCCCTGGCTGAGGATCGTGGAGTGGCCAGGGCAGAGCCGACGTCCTGTAGCATGCACTGGATCTGGGGGACAAGAGGCAGGCTGGTTGGAAACTGTGCAACTGCACTGCACTATTACACGTTCAGAGGTGCCACAGAGCGTGCACACAGGCTGTGAGGAGCTAACAGACCTTGTGAATTCACATCCAGAGGAAAACTGTCCCAACTAAGCACCACTAGGCCTTCTGAGGGGGATCTGAAGGGGCAAAGGCTCTGCTAAGTACTGGCCAAGAGGCACCTTCTTGGCCTGACTATGGTTTCCACCTGGCCTGCACCCAGGTGGCCTCCTTTCTCTATACTGGCAGCTCTGGAGTTCTAGTTCACTGGACCGAGACCGAATGTGCCAGTGCCACCCACTCAGTGAAGGTCAGGACGTGGAGGGCAGTGGTCAGCTGGACAGACGGACCCCCGCCTGCCCCTCAGAGTCATGGAGGCCCCAAGCAGACTACAGTGACGCTTGGGAGCCCGCAGCATCCCAAGGAGGGGTCTAGAGAGGCAGAGCTGCTGCCTAGCTGGCAGGTCCCCGTGTACACGACGGCAACTCTACCAGGCACAGCTCTGCCTGGCTGAGCGCACAGCTGCGCTCCCAAGCACGTGGCTCTTCAGCCCGGGCGTTGGCCCCTGGCATCAGGTTCTTTGCCAAGAGGCTGTCCCCTGCAATGGGCGATACTGACACCAGCAGCTTCCCACCCCCAGATGTGACTGACAAGCACAGGTAATCCTTCGATGTTGCTGAACACTCCCTGGAGAGCAGAGCCACCTTTACACCCCACCCTCGCCTCACGAGGATTATGTCCTTATTGTAGAGAGAGGACAGCGCAGTTCTGCAGTTCTCGGGAGTGATTAGCTACTCTGATGCAAAGAGACCACGGGCAGAGAATGAAGCCAACAACACCCCAGGCCATGGGACAAAAGCCCCACCGAGGGCTAAAACAACGCTACTTACTTTCTGAAGCTCTTCAGCAAACGTGTGGCCATTTTCTGTGACGAACTCCATGGCAAACCTTGGAAGGTAAGGAGACATTAACCCTAACAGTGCTGCTGTGGGTCCCCAAGATAAAATAACCTGCGACGGCCATGACAGCCCTCCTTGCTAACAGAGAGGGCAGGGCTTTCTAAAGTGCTTTTATTATACTCATCAGTCCCCGGTCAGCTGTTTCTTTCTGCCTCTGCCCAGGCTAGTCCTGTTGACACAGCAGAAAGCAGGTGACATGGGGTCTGTCAGACAGACACATGTGCCGTGCACCAGCGCGTCGGAGCTAAGAATGAGGGACGCATGGCCTGTCCTCGACAAGGGGGCAAAGAGGAAGAAGGTGGGGTTTTGAAGGGTGAATAGGAGTTCCTGGGTAAAGTAGGTGAGGAGAGGGAACAAACTTCCCAGACACAAAAGCACTGCAGTCCCCTCTTACACCCTTCCAGGCCTGGCAGGGAGCAGGTGGTGGCACACAGGAAGGACTCCTGGCAGAGAAAATCTCAAAGGGACACTCTTTCTGGATGCCAAGGAAAGGCTGCGCTGGCTGGGACACATCTTGGTCATCACTGTCCACTACACTCCTGGCGCCCGGCGCCCATGAGCCTGGAAGTTACCAGGACAACGAGAGACACGAGCATAAAGGTCCTGTAACTGGTGTGAAGTGCAGCCCCGGGGTAGATGCACATTTATTGAATTCCTTCCTGAGAACAAAGGGGAAGTACTACCACGGCCATTTTACAGACCAGGAAACTGCGCTTCAGAAAAGGGTGTCTGGTGTGACCCTAAGCCGCACAGCTAGTGAGCAGTGATACAGAATCGGAACACAGAGCCTCCTGAGTCGCACGCCTCTGTGACCGCAGGGCCGGGCAGGCCTGTCGGTGTCCACACCCTCGGTGTGGCTGAGCACGGCCATCCACGTGGCCATCCTCACGCATGTGGCCTTTTCCACCCCACGGTGCCAGGATGTGACTAGTTCTGACCAGGGCAATGAGACTAAAGCCACACGGACAGCTGGAGAGCTTCCGGGGCCAGCATGCGCCTCGCCAGGGCCTGTGCCGCCCCAGATCGGTGTCTCATCGGCCTGGGACCACGGGCCATGTGTGGTAGAGGTGCAGCCAGCGCGCAATGGCTCCAAGTGGGGTGAGAAATAATCCTTCAGTGTGGTAAGCAGACGGGGCCGGGAGGGACGCAATCATTGAGTAACCCTTCTAACCCTTGGCTCACCTTAAAATCCACCTGACGAGGGGCCCACACCTCATACAACTGTCCTCTTCCCTCACTGCCTTCCCGTCCCCCATGTGTGCTCAAAGTGACAGAACCAGGGATGAAGAGAAGACGGCCACTCCCTGGCGTGACAGGAAGACAGAGCCTGGCGTGACAGGAAGACAGAGCTGTAGCCTGTAGCCCCATGGAGCTGACCAGCCTGTGATAACAGCTTGTAGAGAGCCATTCAGGGAATCTCCTAGACCCTCCAGCCCTTGGGAAGATGTTGAGGTGGTGTCAGTCACCGATCCCAAGGTTAACTTCACATCAAGGCCCATCCTTGCCCCCCTTACCCAATAGCCGAACTTAATTCATCTGTAGTTCCCACAGCCTCAAACAGTTGGTCATCTTTAGGTCTCCGTTCTCCCGTGAAGGTGCTGGAAAACCCTGGGGAAGATATTGGACACATTATGAATGGGGATTGTCTAGGGGAGGGGCAGGGGTGGCTCAGTGGTTAGGAGCTAGCACCTGCTGCTCTTGCAGAGGACCCAGGTTCAATTCCCAGCACTCATGTGATGGCTCACAACCATCTGTGACCTTAGTTCCAGGATCTGATGTCTTCTTCTCAGGCATGCATGTGGTTTAAGACAGGGTTTCACTATGTAACCTAGACTGGCCTGGAGCTTGATATGCTACCCTAGGTGGTCTTGAACTCATGACTCTCATACCACAGCCTCCCAAGTGCTGGGATTACAAGTGTGTACTATTCCCAGCTTCTTTACAACTTTTTCTGAGACAGGGTTTCTCTCTGTAGCCCTGGCTGTCCTGGAACTCGCTCTGTAGGCCAGGCTGGCCTCGAACTCAGAAATCCTCCTGCCTCTGCCTCCCGGGCGCTGGGTTAAAGGCTGGCGTGCACCACTGCGCCACCACCGCCTAGCTCTTCACAACTTCATTTCTGTGCATTTTTCCTGCCGCTTCACATTGACATGTACATTTGGATCTGTCACATGGCTGCAACGAGGTCAGAAGAGCTTTAAAATGGTGCCCTACTGTGTGCCTTCTTTAAAATGGTGCCCTGCTGTGTGCCTTCTTTAAAATGGTGCCCTGCTGTGTGCCTTCTTTAAAATGGTGCCCTGCTGTGTGCCTTCTTTAAAATGGTGCCCTGCTGTGTGCCTTCTTTAAAATGGTGCCCTGCTGTGTGCCTTCTTTAAAATGGTGCCCTGCTGTGTGCCTTCTTTAAAATGGTGCCCTGCTGTGTGCCTTCTTTAAAATGGTGCCCTGCTGTGTGCCTTCTTTAAAATGGTGCCCTGCTGTGTGCCTTCTTTAAAATGGTGCCCTGCTGTGTGCCTTCTTTAAAATGGTGCCCTGCTGTGTGCCTTCTTTAAAATGGTGCCCTGCTGTGTGCCTTCTTTAAAATGGTGCCCTACTGTGTGCCTTCTTTAAAATGGTGCCCTGCTGTGTGCCTTCTTTAAAATGGTGCCCTGCTGTGTGCCTTCTTTAAAATGGTGCCCTGCTGTGTGCCTTCTTTAAAATGGTGCCCTGCTGTGTGCCTTCTTTAAAATGGTGCCCTGCTGTGTGCCTTCTTTAAAATGGTGCCCTGCTGTGTGCCTTCTTTAAAATGATGCCCTGCTGTGTGCCTTCTTTAAAATGGTGCCCTGCTGTGTGCCTTCTTTAAAATGATGCCCTGCTGTGTGCCTTCTTTAAAATGATGCCCTGCTGTGTGCCTTCTTTAAAATGGTGCCCTGCTGTGTGCCTTCTTTAAAATGGTGCCCTACTGTGTGCCTTCTTGAGCTTGCCACCTACCCTCACCGTACCTTTGTCTCCTGTTTTGGTGTAAATCTTGGGGATCTTGGGTGCCTTGGAGGAGGACTGTAGCCTAACGAGAAACAGACATTGAGACACGGTAAGTGGGCATGGCTTACAGTGAGTGAAACCCAGCTTGCTGCCTGCAGACCCTGTGGTGGCGTTTGCCCCCCTTCTGGATGGCAATCTCTTACTAACCCTTGTCATCCCTTCTAGACAAAGCCCACGTCTCTACCTGTACAGTGGCTGCTGTAGTGCACTGCTCAACAAAGTGACCGACAAATATTTGCTGGAGGAACTGACCATCACTCCATACAGCCGTAGGTCTGCAGAGCACCTAAGCCAGTAGCTCCTGGAGTTACCCTTCAGCTGCCCCCACACCCCCAAAGTTAGCCATTAATCATTACATACACTTCTGTGTTGCGGAAACAATAGCTCACAAAGATTCGCTTCCCTGGGTCTCCAGAAGGAGGCAGGGCTGGGATGCATTCCCAAAACTTCTACTGTAACCCTGACCTGGGCCACTACCCGCCCCCCAAACTCTTGCCCCTAGTCTGTCCAAACTCCCACCTTCTATCACAAAATTAGGGCTTCCTGGGGAAGAAAACCGAGCCACTTGCATTTTGTAGGATCTCATGTGTCACAAAAAAAAGAAAACATTTGCAAAATGGAATTTGAAGAAACTGGTATTTTTACTTATGAAATTTGTTTCTGGTTTTTGCTGAGGCATGCAATTGGTGGATTTGTTTGTGATTTTTGTTGCGGTGGTACAGGCCTGCAACTGGACCCCGGCTTTTAGACGTGGTAGATAGGCACTCCGCCACTGGGTCACATCCACCGTCCTTACCGTCCTACAAGAGATTGCCGTTTCTAAATAGCAGGATGCGAGTTAACTACGTAGCCTACAACTAAAACATGACCTCCCTCACAGGGTTACTCAGAAGTCAGAGGACTGGACAGGAAACGGGTTACACGGTCACGGTGGTACAGAGCCTGCGGGTTCTGCGGTCCTGGAGTGCACGGGTACAAGTTTCTCAGCGTTCCGTCCACGTCTCCCTCGCACGATGCCCGGTGTCCCAATCCCAGGCGGACACGCCCTGCCCCGCCTGACCACAGCTGCAGGGCTGCGTCAGAGCCTGACCTAAGCGACCCTGGCCTCTGACGCCATGCGGCCCGGGGTGACGTCAGACCGCAGAGGCACGTCATCAGCGTGAGAGCCACGGGGTCCCCCAGTGGCGGGGTCACCCCCCAAGCCTGACACTCACCCGTCCCCGTCTTCCTCGCCCTGAGACCCGCGGCTCTGAAAGCGGGGACACAGCAGCCTGCAGGCGCCGACACGCCCGCGCAGGCCAAGGCGGCCCCCAAACACCCACACGGCCATGCGCGCGACGACCAGTCCAGGACTGACCCGGCCAGGCACCCGTCCCGGCCCGAGGATGGCTCCGCCCCGCAGCCGGCCGCGCCACCTCCCGAGCGCCGTTTCCTATTGGTCAGCGGCGCTCGCACCAGGGCGGGGCACTGCCGGGGACCTGTTTCCCATTGGGTCACGGAAAGAGCGAGGCGGGTTGTTTGAAGATCCCATTGGCCCATGTTGGACCCAATCCGTGAAGAGATCCTCGGCTCAAGCTCTCTGATTGGCTGGAGGGGGGACGCCCGCCTCCGTGGGGCTGTGCGCTCCGGGATGGAGAGCGCCGGGGCGGCCGCTGCGGTCTCGGCGGTCCTGGACGCTGGCCGCCGCAGGTGAGAGGGGGGAGAGGCCGGGGCTGCGGGGCTGGGCGGCGTGGGGACCCGGGCTCCGCGGGCCGGGCGCCGGAGCGGTCGGCGACATCGCAGCGGGGCCTCGGGGGCCACTGCGCCCGCCTGTAGTGGGGTGGATCGTGTGTGAGGGAGCCCGCGTGAGGCCTGCCTTCCACGCGGGTGACCTTGCATCCGCCGTAGCAGGGTAAGGTGCACGCGCCCGTGCACCCAGCAAAGACTCTGCCCTGCACAAGTTCTTGTTCAGATACGCAGCACCGCGCGTACCAGGTACGTGCTGCAGCCCTGTGGATAGGCGTGGTCTCGGTGTCCTGGAAGAAGTCTTTCTTTCTCAAGATTTTGTGTCAACCTCCCTTTCCCACACCATCAAACTCATGGCAAGCTCTGAATTACTGAGCCAGACACTCGGAGGCCATGCCAGTTTCTGCCTTCAGTAGTGTTAGCAATAAACGCTAGAGCCGCCGGTGCTGAGTAACTATTCCAGTCAAGCAGCTGTTTTGGCAGGCAGACAGGCAGAGCTGCTTCCCAGACCTTTGGATCAGCCTCCAGTGTTGCCCATATCTGATGTGTGGGAAACAGACCGATGACAATTTACGTAAGGTGACATCACTGGCGAGTGGAAGGGCGGGGTCTGAACCCAGGTGTTTCTCAGTGTCCAGCTGGCTGGCTCACAGCACTGTCCTGGTACATAGTTAGTGCCTGATGGCAGTTCCTGTTGTTATGATGCGCATTCTCTCTCTCTCCCCCCCCCCCACCGTTTTCTTTTTGAGACAGTTTCTCTACCTGGTTCTGGCTGTCCTGGAACTCACTCTGTAGACCAGGTTGGCCTTGAACTCAGAGATCCACCTGCCGCTGCCTCCCGAGTGCTGGGATTAAAGGTGTGTGCGCCCAAGCACACCCTCTCTGGTGTGTCAATGACCATCTAGGAACCTTTGTCCCTCTCTTTGCAATCCCTTCCAGGAGTCCCAGGAGCCATGTTGTCAGAAGCCCTGCTGGTGTCTGCTCCAGGAAAGGTCATCCTCCACGGAGAACATGCTGTGGTCCACGGCAAGGTAAACAGTAAGCCAAGACCGCGTGGAAATACATAGGTTAATAGAAATAGGTTAATAGTTAAGACAGAGCTGGCCAATGAGAAGCCCTAGCTATCGGCCCACAGTTTTATAACCAATATAGCGTCCGCGTGTTTATTTGGGGCTGAGAAGGCAGCGGGATTTGGCAGGGCAAGAAAAACAGCCAGCACATGGGTCTGAGGCCAAAGCTTATATTTTTCATTTGTTCCAGCTGTCACTTCATGGTTTCATGTATGTGCTTATGCTAGGGGACGACCTCAGGTATTGTTCTTCAGGAGATGCTGCTTGCCTCAGACTTTGAGGCAGGGCTTCTCATTGTCTTAGAGCTTACTGGAATGGCAGAGCCCCAGAGATCCTGTGTGCACCTTTACTCTACAGATGGCCCTGGCGGTAGCCTTGAACTTGAGAACTTTTGTACTGCTTCGACCACAGAGCAATGGGAAAGTGAGCCTCAACTTACCCAACATTGGTGTTAAGCAGGTGTGGGACGTAGCCGGCCTTCAGCTGCTGGATACAAGCTTTCTTGGTTAGTACAAAGAAGGGGAGCCAGGTGTGGTAAGAGCCTGGCCCTGAAGAAATTGGGGGTGGGGTGGTAACAGCAGGCTGTCTGCGAGGGAGTCAGGACAGCCGTTCCAACAGCTCTTTCTTCTGAGCCCAGAAAATTGGGTTCATTCATTTAGTATTTGACTTACTTTTGTTGGTGACAGAGTCTCACTCTGTAGAACAGGCTGCCCTGGAACTCACAGAGGCCCTCCTCTCTCTGCCCCTCAAGTGCTGCAGTCAAAGGCATGCTCCCTCACAAAGGCGTGCTAGTCACTTTAAACATGTAAACATGCCCTAGATCTCTGGGCTATGGTGGGCAGATCATTCAGGCGTTGTATTCGTTACTCTTCTGTTGCTGTGGCAAAGGCCACCTAAGGGAGGGTGTATTTTGGCTGTCCGTCTGAGCAGTCTGAGCGTCCTCCGTCCTGCTGGCGTGTGAGGTGGATGGTCACGTTGCCTCTGCAGTCAGGAAGCAGAGAGATGGACGCTGGCGCACAGCTCTGTTTCTCCCTTTTATTCAGTCTAGAACCCTGAGCCCTGGGATAGTGCCACACGCATTTAAGCCTCTCTAGCAACACCCTCATCCACGTGCCCAGAGGCGTGCTTCCTGGGTGACTCTGAATCCTACCTCTATTAACTAGTATATGCTCCCAGTACATGGGAGGTGGAGGCCAGAGGATCAGCTTCAGCTGTTTGGTAAGCTCGAGGCTGGCCTGGGCTACACGGGATGTCGTCAAACAAAACAAGATAAAAGAGAGCAAAAGAAGTAACTGTCGCAGGTGTGAAACTGTGTGCCTGCGTCCAAGGCAGTGTGTGCGTGTGTAGGAAGTGTCGGGGAGGGGACATCAACTGTCAATGGTGATTAGTTCCTGGGAAACATAAAGGACATCTACCCTCCCCCTCAGGTGCCAATCGCAGACCCAGGGACAGTCCCACCAGAGTTCACTGTGGGGAACCAGTGAGGTCATCAGGCTTCCTTACCGAGCGTAGGTCAGGGTTACTACTGCAGTGTGGGTGTCCCCACATAGAGGCCTTAGCAGAAAATCTTCACCCTGCGTGGTGACGCCTCTCCTGTAGTCACACAGATGAAGCCCCTCCCCAAGGCCATGTACAGTTAGGGCGGAGTTACCTACAGCAGGTGGTAGGAAACCTCTAGATGCTCAGGTGAGGGCCCTGACCTCCCCACACCTCTGTGAGGGGGTACACAGTCAGCAAGCCCAGCTGGGATATCACCTCTGTAAGGGGGTGTAGCTGAACTCCCCAAGATGGTGGCTGCCTGGCTCAGAGGACAGTCAAGGACAACGTGAGGTCGTTGCTTCAGCTCCCCCAGAGGCGACCTGAGCATGCTGCATCAGCCGGTCAGTGTTGACTTCAGGGCAGGGAACGCTAGATCTGAGAAGGGAGATCCCTTGTTTCTGAAGCAGAGGGAGCCATGCCATGCCTTTCTTCTGGGGTGTCAGCACGATCTTCCCGTGCCGTTAGCCCGGGGCCCCTGTGCTGCTGTTGACATGAGAAGTAGCTGTCCCAGCTAGTGCCCTGTCAGCAGGGCGCCTGCCCCATGGCCTTGTGTGAGCCCAGGGTGCTCCCTCTTCTCGAGCTCACCTCTCCTCGTAGGAAATAGCATTTCCCAGCCAGCCCAGGGCAGGGAGAGCGCCCCGGGGACGACTTCCAGCCTGCACCCCAGCCTTGCCGCCTGCCACCGGAGATGGCTCCGCGGTGGGGACCTGGGCTTGGTCCCCAGTGGAAGGAGAGAAGGGGGCTGTCTGTCTAGAGTGGTTCTTTCCTACCTGCCGGGCCTTGGAATTGGCTTGGGGCTCTTTGTTCTTTTTCTCTGTGTACCTGGGTCCCTGGCCCTGCCCCGTCCTGTGGAGGATTGGCACAGGTGGTGAGGACTGACTGTATTTTGTAAGAATTTCCCTGGGTGGCTCCTGCACCTTCCTCAGCTCAGAGCCTCTGGGACTTGTCTTCCGTGGCATCCGTCAGTAGGGCAGAATGTCCCCTGGGACCAGCGGCAGCTCTTCCAAGTCTGTCTGAAGCAGCGGCAGCCAGGCATGGTAGCTCATGGCCGACAGTACACAAACCCACTGGCGAGTCCGGGCAAGTCTCTACTGACGCCAGGAGCAGGGGTGTGTGATATGTCTGACGTGAAAACCCAGCAGGATAAGGGTGGGTCCAGGGCTGGAATCTGCCTCCTTGGAGACCACAGGGACTCCTTGGAGACTGCCTGCTACTGCTCTCTCCACATAGTAACAGGTACTGAGCGCATGTGCCGGTCTGTGGGCTCCACCGGTAGGCAGTCCCCAGAGTGGGTTAGAGGCCATTCGTCTCCATTTTATGTACATGACAGCGGAGTCTTGGAGACTGCAGCTCCATCATGGCTACAGAAAGACCCACATGGGTCTCTAAACTCCAAGATGGGTCTGTCTCCATCACAGAACTCTGAGTGAGAGGGTCTACTTGACGTCTTGGTTTGAACATCTACAGTGTATCATGAATCTATCTGTTCAGCACACATGTGCTGAGTGAACCCTTACCAACAGCCACGCCCCCTCTCTATCCCTGCTGACCCAAGCTGGGCATGATCTGTGAAGCTGAGCTGGTCAGACTTGCTCAGCCTCCTCTGCGTGTGTGCACATGCAGGACCTGACACGTGCTAGGGGCTTTACCCGCATCCCTAGTCCTTTTGTTAATTGTCTTTGGGAGAGAGGGGGAACTAGTCGGGGATAACTCACCGCTCTCCCTGGGTTTGAAGGCTGGGAGGTGAAGCAGAGGCCTCTGCACAGCGTGTACTCAGACTGTTAGTTCTGCACTTGCTCTGAGCCGGGAGCCTTGCTGAGTCCTGAGTGCTGGTCTTTACAGGCAAGGCCTGCGCCTAAGGCTGCCTACTCCCCAAACTGGGAGGGAACCGATACCCCTGGCAGGCTGCTGGGACCCTGTTTATCCTCATGCTGACCTTGGGTGTCCTGAGGGTTGTGAATGCTCCTACAGTCGCCCTCACCTGCCTGCCTTTTTGCCTGTGTGTCAGAGCAAGGCGATGGTCCGGCACCCACCCCAGAGCAACTGGAGAAGCTGAAGAAGGTGGCAGACCTCCCCGAGGACCGTGTCGGCACCGAGGGCCTGGCCGTGCTTGCCTTCCTGTACCTCTACCTGGCCATCTGCCGGAAGCAGAGGTGTGTGCGAGGTCTGCATGTGTCCACCTGGCCTCCCCTGGGAAGTCACCGCTACCGGAGAATCCCTGTGCCTCGTGGGTCTGTAGGGACAATGGCCATAGGCTGTCCCCACGGTATGGCAGCAGTCCAGGAGAGGGGTTCCTCCTGTTTATTCCTGGGGCTGCAGAGGCTCTGCAGATAGACAGCCTGAAGACCATTTGGCAAGTTAAGCCATCGAGCTGTGACATGCCCCCAGTTCACGTGAACACTGACAGGGGAGCCCTGTGCTGCATCCTCTGCTGCTTGAATTCAGTAGGACAAAGGCTGTGCTGCACTCTTGTTCCTGGGTGGCCTCGTTGTGGTGTGGCTGGAGAGAAACATGCGTGCCTCATGTTGCTGCAGTGAGCAGAGTGGAACCTGCGTCCACTGCCGCTTTTCAGAGGGGCCTGGGGAGCCGGTGCCAGGAGCTTGAGAGGGTGCTGAGATGGCATCACGTGGTGCTCTGGATGCTATGGCAGGCCGTTTACCCTCCTTAGAGATGCTTACCCTCTCCGAGGCTGAACTTTCTCATCTGTGCAATGGGTGCATTGACGGGTAGTAAGGTTTAATCTGACTAGAGCCTGGCAAGCGGCTTGATGCATTGTTGCTGTGACCATAAACCATGTCCTCTGGCTGGATGTGGTGACTTATGCCTGTGACCCCAGTGCCCAGGAGACTGAGGCAAGAGGACCTACCCTGAATGGTCCGGTGCTTGGGCTCCAGAGTGACTTGCAGGACAGGCTGACAGCCTGGGCTACAGTGTGAGACCTTGTCTAAAACCAACAAACAAACAGGACACCAAGTAGGACTAGGGATGTGGCTAATTATTATTTTTTTAAAGATTTATTTATTATGGATACAGTATTCTGTCTGCATGTGTGCCTGCAGGCCAGAAGAGGGCGCCAGATCTCATTACGGATGGTTGTGAGCCACCAAGTGATTGCTGGGAATTGAACTCAGGACCTTTGCAAGAGCAGCCAGTGCTCTTAACCTCTGAACCTTCTCTCCAGCCCATGGCTAATTATTTACCTAGCATGCACAGAGCCCTGGATTCTGTCCCCACGGCCACGTACAACCTGGTGTGATAGAGCACACTGTATTCCCAGTACCTACAAGGCGGAGGCTGGATGGTCAAGCTCAGGACCGACCTCATCCTCCCAGAACTTTACGTCAGCCTAGGCTTCATGAGATCCTCTCCAAAATATTTCATTATTAATCAGTAATGTATAATCCCCTCAAGGATTGATCAGTAGGGTTAGGAGTGCATTTAAAATAGTAACGTGGCCATGACAGGCATGCTGTATGGAGTAGCTTTGAGGGTTTTTGTGGTTGTTGTTTGTGAGACACATAGCCCTGTCTGGACTGGGACTCACTGTGCAGAGCAGGTTGGCCTGGGACTCAGAACTCCATCTGTCTCTTCCTCTGGAGTGCTGGGATTAAAGGTGTGTGCCACCATGCCTTGTCACCAGGGTTATTTTCTTATGCAAGGAAAACGGCAATCAGAGCCGCAGACACTGGCCAGGCCCTGTGCTGAGGACATCACATAAGTCGCTGGCACTTGGCCTGACTGTATTCAGCTCAGGTAGCATGCTTCCCTTTGGTGGGTTGGGGCGGAGTCTCCCGTCTGCTTAGGGTCCTTTGGAAAGTCACCCTCGGCGTTAGAGATCTACAGAGTGGGAAGGGGACTTAGAAATTGGGTGTTACTTGGGAGGGGGATCTGTGTTTGTTTGATGGTGTGACTTTCTGAGTGGTCCGCAGCAGCCCAGAGTCCCATGTGTCAGGAGTGGTGGGTGCTGGGGTGAAGCTGCCATGGAGGCTGGTGACACGTGGGTCCTCCCTTGGGGCCTAGCGACGGCTCTTGTGGGTGCTTTGGGGGAGGTGCCCTGTGGCAGCACTTGGTGATCTCTGGAAAGATGGGTGGGAGATGGTGCGGTGCAAGGCTGTGACAGACAGACAGAGAGCTGGTGCCGAGAGCCAGGCCAGGAAGGAGCCCAGCTCTGTGGGGTTGCAGTTTGCAGTGATTCGAGTCTGGCACCTGTTCCCTGGTTGCTTCGGTCACCCTCAGTTGCTGCCATGCAGCGGGATGCTGTCCCATCAGCGGTCCTGGCGCTCAGCCAGCCCCTCCCCCACTGCCCATCACCTTAGGCGCTCCACAGCCTTGAGAGGAGTCAGGCTTTGTGCCCGTGTTTTTCAGGGCACTCCCGAGCCTGGACATTGTGGTATGGTCGGAACTGCCGCCTGGGGCCGGCTTGGGCTCCAGTGCCGCCTACTCGGTATGCCTGGTGGCTGCCCTCCTGACTGCCTGCGAGAACATCACCAACCCGCTCAAGGACAGGGATGCCATCGGCAGGTAATGGCTGTCTTTGCATTGTCCTTCCTGAGATGGGACAGTGAGCAGCGCTGTGACTCGGCACACCGTTGTACCCATCTGAACCTTAGATTGCCCCTCTGGGAAAGGGGATAACCCTGCCTTCCCTACAGGGTTTTAAACTCTGTCTGTGTGCCCAGGTGGCCTGAGGAGGACCTGGAGTCCATTAACAAGTGGGCCTACGAGGGAGAGCGGGTGATCCATGGGAATCCGTCCGGCGTGGACAACGCGGTCAGCACGTGGGGTAGGTGTGCTTGCTCCCTCACCCTTCCCGGGAGGCTCTTGGCTAGAGGTGGGTACAGGAGACCTCTGAGGAAGCCTGTTTCTGTTCCAGGGGAGGAAAGTGTCAGGGTTCTGCCTCTCTGAAGGGCGGGCTCAGGCCCTGGGAAAACCCCCACTGATCTCTGCGGGCATCACGGGAAACTGTCGCTGTGTTGTTGGCAAACCACACAAGCAGCGTTCCATCCTGACAGGGTGCTTGCTAACAGGCCCTGGGCCTTAGCCTCACCTCAAGGGCAATGGCTGAGGAAGCTGGCAGCTCAGAAGACCAAGGTCCCGAGGGAATGGATGGGTGTGTCATTCATGAGGTCACAGGGACCTCACGCTGCCCCGAATGCAAACCTGAGCCTTCCCCATGATGATGGCTGCTGTCCCTTTCTTTAGGAGGAGCCCTGCGCTACCAGCAAGGGAAGACGTCATCCTTGAAGAGGTAACTCGGGCTTCATGGCTGTGGCTAGCACAGATAGCCACATACCCGGGGAGAGCACTATGCCTGCCTTTGCGAAGTTGTGCGGGGTGGGTGTGGCCCTTCCTGCTGTGGCCTGGGGCACAGGGAGGTCTGCCTAGCTGTTGTCTTTCCTCCACCGTGCCAACTCTTCACCGCCGTTAAAGGTGAGAGTCGCGTGTGGCTGTCCCTTCCCTTTGAAGCAGACCCTGGCTGCCTCCCTGTCCACTCACGTAGTAAGCGGTAGACGCTGCCTCCCTTTTCCTGGTGACACATCCCGGGGCCCAGGGACATGGGTGTACCACTCAGGCTGTTTCTGGGAGCTCTTGCTAGGAGTGAGCGTGGGGTTGGGTTGGTGTTTGACAAGTAAGTATGGAAGCCAACACAGGACCAAAAGGGGCGGTGTGCTGGAGCCCTTGGTGGGAGGCTTGGGCAAGGCTCAGAGCAGGCCCACCTCCCTTCTACAGCTGGTTTAAGTGGGGAGTCTTCTCCCCCAGACCAGACATGCTGCCGTTCTGTACAGAGCACCTTGTCTGTGGCGTAGCTGCAGGTCCAGCCTCCCTGAACACTTTTTTTTTGAGTGACAGGCGGTCTTTAAAGGAGAGAAAAATATTGCTCATCTTAGAAAGTCTAGAAAACACGAGCGCCATCCTCCAGGGTGGGAATCGTGTCCTGGCTTCCGGATGGTGAGACAGTGGCCAGCAGAGGGCAAATAAAGGAGCTGAACCCTCGGCCTCCAGGTGTGTGGCAGAGCATGCACCCCAAGACAGAAATCCAAAGTCAAACGCGGCGCCCCAAAGTTGTTGGATTGCAGAGCATTTCGGGTTTAGATTAGGTGACATCCATGCAGACAGTCCTGAGTTCCCAGAACCTTGGGACCTGGGGCATTTCTGAAAAGGATGTTTGACTCTCCCCTTACCCCCTTCACCCCTACCTAAGCTTCAAGGCTGGGAACCACTGACCTCCGACCCTGCTGCACTCTGCCACAGACAGCCACTTTGAACTTCTCAATCCTTATACGTCAATCCTTATACATCATGATGGCGAAGCCTCAGAGGGCCTCCCTCCTGCCTGCTAGTCTGTAGACTAAGCTGGGGTCACCTTCCAGGGCCTCCACTTCTGTCCCAGGATGGGGCGGAGCCCTGGGCGTGGCTCCTCCATCCTGCCTTTCATCTCACTGCAGGCTGCCGGCCCTGCAGATCCTGCTCACTAACACCAAGGTCCCACGAAGCACCAAGGCCCTCGTGGCTGGCGTGAGAAGCCGGCTACTCAAGGTGCTCCGGGATGGAGGGTGCTGTGCTGTGGGTGTTGGGGACGGGGAATGTGAGGGGGTAGTGTGGACAGAGAGGAAGGTGCTAACTGTGGTAGCTGCCTGCCCCTATATTCACACTGGCTTTATGGCAAGGGTGCCCTGCAGATGTCAGGGCAGCTACATGTCAGGACTAGGCGGGGCCACAGGAGATTCCCCGAAGGCTGGTGTAGGCGGGGCCCCAGCTCTACAGCAGGGCCCCTCCCCTGTCCTTAGACCTTCCTTCCCTACAGTTCCCTGAGATCGTGGCTCCGCTCCTGACCTCTATTGACGCCATATCCTTGGAGTGTGAGCGCGTGCTGGGAGAGATGGTGGCAGATCCGGCCCCGGAACAGTACCTTGTTCTAGAAGTAAGTCCGCCACTGGCTGGCTCCTCACCCTGCTGATGCTCAAGTAGTGTCTCCCCCGGTCCTTTGATGGCCCAGGCCTATTCCCTGGGCATGTGTGTGCCCATGTGGGCAGGTGTAGGCCGCGAGGTGGAGAAGCAGCGCACGTGGGCAGACGGCCATCTCGCAGACCCCCATTCCCTGTTTGTTCTGGGGAAATGCCTACCTTCCCCGCTCCTGCTCTGTGCTGGCTCCCGGTGTCCGCTCAACAGCCACCTGTGTCTTCTGGTCAGGCAGGGTCTGACGTTGCTCTGTGGTCCTCTGACCGTGGCCAGCACCTTCATGTAATTCTAGAATAGCACAGAGGCCCTGCGGTCAGCGTCTGAGCAGGCCAGTGTCTGAATTCTCCTTCATTCACTGCAGGCGGCTGGCCGGCCTCGCTGGGGTGTCACAAGCTTGTTACAGTTCCGGGGTCTCCTGTTCCCTGTGCCCATGTGCCACCAGCACAGAGAGCCAAAGGCTCCCTCTCAGACATGGGCCATCTGGTCTCGTGACTCAGGCTGATGGTAAAATGCCATCTGGCCTGGAGTACAAGGGGACCCAGCAGCCCCGGCTGAAATAGCCGAGCAGCGGCAAAGTCCCCTCCGGATGGCCCGGCACACTCCTGCTCTGATGGCCTCCGGTACTGTCCTGTGGCCCCTGCCGCAGCACCTGCCCCGCCTGGCACCCCGTGTGCAGCCTCTCCCTGTCTGCCCCGCCTGGCACCCCGTGTGCAGCCTCTCCCTGTCTGCCCCGCCTGGCACCCCGTGTGCAGCCTCTCCCTGTCTGCCCCGCCTGGCACCCCGTGTGCAGCCTCTGCCTGCCCCGCCTGGCACCCCACGTGCAGCCTCTCCCTGCCCCTCCTGCTCCTTGCAGCCACCTGGGTCTCCATTTTACAGGCTTAAAAGCTGAGGTCCAAAATGGCTGACTTCCTCAGCTTACCCAGCTAGGGGATGGCGGCAGAGCCAGGACCCAAACTTATGGCTGTGTGTGCCTCCACTCACAGATTTTACTCATTTTTACATCTCAAGACTGTATAGCCCTGGCTGGCCTAGAACTCACTGTGTAGACCAGGCGAGCCTCAGACTCAGAAACGTGCCTGCAATGTGCGCCATCACACCCAGAATCTCAGAGCTGTAATGAGCACCTACTGTGTGCTGGGCACAAGGACACGGAATCTGGAGCCCCTGTCCTCATTTCCCAGGCGCCCTCCTGCAGTCCCCAAGCCTTGCTTCCCGGGTTCCCATTTCCTCCCATGTTCAGGCTGGCAGACCTGAGCAGGAAAGAGATGAAGATAGAACCCTGCCCGAGAACGCTGGGGAACAGCGCGCTGATCGCACAGCGTGGCTATTTTTGGCTGCTACAGCCGCTGAAGGTGCACAGCTCCGCTCCTGGACAGCTTTGCACGGGAGCCAGCAGCGAGCTCTTCTCCAGTGTCACAGCCTGTCATCTGATCCTTGACAGATTTTGGATCAGCATGTGACAGGTGTCTGGAACGTGCCTTGACAACATGACACCTGAGCTCAGGCACAGAGAGGCCCCCAGACATCTCCACATGTGGCCCACCGGGCTCGTGAAAGGCACCCAGGGCTGCCAGCAGGCCACTGCCTGTCCGTCCGTCCGTCCGTCTGTCAGAATGCTGGGAAGTGGGGCGGGCCTGGGAGTCTGGCAGAGCTGCCTCTGTGCTGGTTGGCCCTCAGTGCACAGGCATCCTGAGCCCTGCGCTCAGAGCAGAGCCCTGCACGGCTCTGCTCACCAGCGCCCCTGAGCAAGAGGGGCAATGGAAACGCCAAGGGCGATCTTGCAAGCAGAAACACTTCCGGCACTGGCTCGTTACCTACAGATGGGAGGTCCCAGACAGGTTTTCTGCCCCTGGCCCTCAGTGCCACCTCCTATAAAATGAGGTGGTGGTGACACACACTAGTAGGAGAATGTTTGCCCAGCTTAGACACTGTGTAGAAGTCCTTGCCTTCACACAGCCAGGAGGCAGGCAGACCTCACGCCATCTGTTTCCACGGGGAAAGACTCGAGCAAAGGACCCCGCCTAAGGGCTGCGAAGGGCAGAGCCCAACCTCGCCCCCAGCCTGCCGGAGCCCCAGGCCCAGGGGGGAGGGCAGAGCCTGACTGGATGTGCACCCGTCCGCCAGTGAGGGACAGACTGCGGCCGTCCTTAGCATTTTGCTCACATGCTCCTCGCTGGCTGGCAAGCAGCAATTTTATTGCAAACAATTGAAGAAACCTAAACAAATATTTAGCTGTTTTCTCACTTGTGACCTTGCTGGAGTGACAGCTTGGTTCTTATTCTGCAAAGCAGCCCAGGAGGCAGCAATATGATGGCAGATTGTGTGAGGCATTTTCTCTCACACATGGCAAACCTGTCCCCGCTAGCCTTTAATGGAAAAGGAGCTTTCTCCTCGAGGAGGGGCAGAGGTGATGCCTTCAAGCATGGTTTGATCCAGAGGTTGTAGCAAGGTGGTTAGGAGCCTATCCTGGGATCTGTGACCACATGGCAGGTGGGTAGCTTGGGTGGTGGTGTTTTAGACACTTCCCCCAATCTGACCAACTTAGATTAGTTGCCTGCTCCGTATAAGTAACAAGGGCCAGCCTCGGCACTGACCTCCATGGCGGGAGAATGAACTTGGTTCCGTTCATGAACTAAGGCCCACGTAGGGAGCATGAGCTGCCCCAGGCAGCAGCTGCCGGGCCGACAGGAGACGTGGGCTGGGACTGGGCTGGGACGGCGGGTTTGCCTCAGGTGGATTAGGCAGGGACAGATGGTACCTTCTCCAGGAGCTGATAGACATGAACCAGCACCACTTGAATGCCCTGGGTGTGGGCCACACCTCCCTGGACCAGCTCTGCCAGGTCACAGCAGCACACGGACTGCACAGCAAGCTGACAGGCGCGGGTGGCGGCGGCTGCGGCATCACCCTCCTGAAGCCAGGTACGGCCGGGGCTGGCGAGATGGCCAGTTAATTAACCTCACTGTGCCTCTGTCTCCTCTGGTAGGACCAGGGTGACAGCAGGTAGGTCTGCTCCTGCTGCCTCCCGCCACAAGCTTCAGAGACAGCCAGGGCGGCTCCCATCCCACAGTGAAGCAGGACGCGGTGGCCCAGAGGCAGAGTGAAGTGCTCATTAGCCTGGGGGAAAGACCCAGTAGGGACTTGAGGGAAGGAGCCCGAGGCCAAGCCAGAGCACAGGGAATTCTTGCTGCCCGTGTATGGCAGGCGTCCAGTGATGCCACCCACCTTCACCCACCCTGGCCCACTCACCCTCCGCCTTTTTCTTATCCGTGTCCCCTCTCGCTCTTGGTAGGTAGTGGCTTCTGGCTTCTGGGAGGCCCTGAGTGGTAGCTCTGATCCACAGCCAATGCTGATTGTGAGCAAATGCTATGAGAGCATGTCCAGTATACCAGGCACCCTGGTGGGGGAGTGGCCAGTGTCGGCCTCATTCCCAGATAGGGAAACTGAGGCCCATATGGGGATTCGGCGTGAAGCCGCGTGACCGGCTGATGCATGGCAAGGCTGGGCCCCGGTGGTTAAAGCCCATGAGGAGGATGTGGGGCTTGGCACGGGCTCATGGGTGCTGCAGTAAAGCCGGAAGAGTCTGCCGCGCGTCATCCATCAGGGTCCACTACCTTCCATCTCCAGGTCTAGAGCGAGCCAAAGTGGAGGCCGCCATGCAGGCCCTGACCAGCTGCGGGTTTGACTGCTGGGAGACCAGCATTGGAGCACCTGGGGTCTCCATGCACTCGGCTGCCTCCGTAGACGACCCTGTCCGGCAAGCCCTGGGCCTCTGAGGTGATGTCACACGGAGTCCTGCAAGGAAGCCTCTCGCTGGAGTATTCTGGGGCCAGAGTCGGCCTCTGTGCCTGCTGGTGACAGAGAGGCGCCGCCTCCGCGTCCCGCCTGTACGCTGGCATTTCTGGAGCCAGACAGACATCAGTCGCGGGGTCTCCTGAACTGGCGGGCTGATACCGGCCTTCACCGTGGAGCTCTGGTGGGTGCATGTGCCTGAGCCTGGCCTCCACCTGCCTCCCTCAAACTCTCTGGCTCTCAGCCATGCACTCTTCTGTCCATCCACCCAAGGCTCCTTAGGAACTGCCTGGCCGGTGGTTCCTGTCTGTCATCCTCACCCAGGGATCATCAGCTGGGCCAAGGCTGGCTGACGTCTGTCTCCATGTGTACTTGTGGGGAAGCTGCCGTGGGAGAAATAAAGAGAGATTGCACAGGCAAAGCCTCAGGCCCCGTGGGAAGGTAGAGCTGGTACGCTCCCTCCTCCCTCTCCTCCCTCCTCCCTGTCCTCCTCCTTCCTTTCTCAGGTGCACTCGCCCTCTCCCTGGGAGTCCTGGAGCTGAGTAGAGGCAGGGACATCCCTGCCTCAGTTACAACACAGAGCTTGGATTCGAGTGCCCACCAATGTGTACAACTCTACAGCCTTGGGAGTGAAATTAAGGCCTAGGACAACGCTTCTGTCTTTTTGTTTTGCTTTTTTGAGACAGGGTTTCTCTGTGTGGCTTTGGAACTTGTCCTGGAACTCACTCTGTAGACCAGGCTGGCCTTGAACTCACAGAGATCCACCTGCCTCTGCCTCCCAAGTGCTGGGATTAAAGGCGTGTGGTCACCACCGCTCAGCCGGCCCATCCCTTCCTTCTGATGTCAACTGTCTAGGTGGAGGGACCCTCGTGCTCCTGGAATGGCAGGGCCCACCTAAGCCTGGTAAAGCAGCTTCTCACCCACTGAACCCCTGGGAGCCGGGGCCTGAAGTAAAGATGGGCTGGGCTGAGCTTAGTTTGTTTCCCATGACTCAGTGTGTTTGCCCTCAGCCGCTAGGGGGCAGCTGATGCCTTTCCCAGCACCCTCGGGAGGAGGGTGGGTGGGAGCTGGGCTGGAGTACACCACTAGGAGATCACTGCAGACTTCTTGGCAGTTCTGTGCCCCTGCCCTTCAGAAACAAATGCACACAGCAATGGTATTCATCTGAGAATGGCCGTTCTGTGCCCGACTTCACAGCACAATCGGCAATCTTATGCTCATGTGACAAACCAAGAAGCCAGAGCTCAGAGATGTTGGCTAATTGTCCAAAGCCACGAAGCTGACCAGCCTTAGAGGTCGATTGACTCCAAACCCAGCTCTATCCTGCCCCCCCCCCCCAGTCTGGCTGCGATTGTAGCTGCCTGTAGCGCAAAGGCCCACATGGTTTCATGGCCAGACAGTTAGTGAGCAGCTGGGACTGTCCTGCAATTGGCTGAGGAAGGTGACATGTTCACAGCAGCTAAAGCACCGACCGGGATTATCAGGCTGAGATCCACATCGCCTTCATGCTCCCTGGGGGCCGGGTGTCAGCAACCGATGCTGGCATGATGCCCTGAGCCTCCGGTAGCAGCCACCTGTGTGTCCTGGCCAGCGTAGCCAACTTAGCTGCTGCTGTGGCTCCCGATGCCACCATGCACAGCCACCTGTCTGGTGGGCCTTTGCAGCCACTACTACCCTTACTGGTCATGCAGTGGTTGTCCCTCGGTGGTTCTCAGTCAGCCCTGAGCTTCCCAAAGACCCAGGAGTGCTGTCCCTGCCTGCCTTGGACACTCTGCCCTTGCTGGTGTGGGTGGAGCTCCATCACTAAAGGCTTTGTTTTTATCTTTTTTTTTTAAACATTTATGTATGTGTACGTGTGTGCTACAGCAAAAGACAGCTTGCATGAGTCTGTTCTCTGCAGGTTGAACTAAAGTCATCCGGCTTGGCACTAAGTGCCTTTGCCAGCTGAGCCAACTTTCGAGCCACAGGCTTTACCAACAGAGCCATCTTGCCCGCCCCCTGGTAGCTTTTAAAGCTCCTGGGTAATTCCAGTGTACACTCAGGCCTGAGGTCATAAAAGCAAAGGACCACAAGGTCCCCTTTGGCATACCAAACGGTGCCTGAGCTCAGCTCTGGCAGGCTTAGTCCCAGCTCTGCTAACCTCTGGCCGTGTGGCATTGGGCCAAGTCACCTTTGGAGGCTTTCTCTTAGTGAGGTGAAGGGAATCGCCTTTCCAGAGGTCGTGTGAAGATCGGGTGAGAGGACACACGGCAAGTGCTCCGCACTGTGCCGGCTACACCGTGAGCGCTCACCAAATATTCAGTGCAGTCTTGTGCCACAGGATGTTAAGGTGTTTCCCAGAAACCTCAGCGGTGTCCAGTGCTGGCTAAAACCCCAGCCTTGTTGGTCAGAGACAGCCTTCTCTCCATTCACTGTTGGAAAAATTGTTAGTTCCACCCAGCTTCGCCCCTGCTAGCTTCTCTGCTCGGAGCTGACACAGCCCGGCACCCTCTTCCTGGCACAGGACGGTGTCTGCCGCCCTCCAGTGCACACCAGGGTCCCAGTGGGGAGGCGGGCTGCACACACCACGGGTGATGCCTCCGGCCAGCAGGCGGCGCAGGCTCTGGCTGCTCTGCCGACCCATGTGCCTGGCTCTGCCCTCTGGTCTTGTCCTTGTGGGTCAGGCCCCTCACCCTGCAGCCTGGCTTTTCTGGCGGTGCGGCTCCCAGCTCATGGTGGACAGGCTTCTCACCCACACCTGCCATCTGGCACTTCTGCAGCCAGAGCCAATGTTTTCACGTGATAGTGATCCTGGGGATGCCCAGCTGTAATCCCAGCACTCGGGAGGCAGAGGCAGGAGGATCTCTCTGAGTCAGGCCAGCCAGAGCTACGTAGTGAGAGTCTCTCTCCCTTTCTCTCTGTCTTTCCCTCCCCCTCCCCTCCCCCTCCCTCTCATTCTCCCCCCCCCCCGCCTTTCTCCTCCTCTCTCTCTCAGAAAGCTTTCAGTCATGTGAATTCACTGTGATGAGCGTGTACTGTCTCAAACCACGCAGTGTGACTGCCTCCACCTTCCTTTGGTCACCTGCTGCCTCACGCTGCCTTCTGTCCTTACTTTTCCTAGCTGGGATGCTGTGCACATGACCAGCCCACTTCTGCCCTCCCTGCCCAGCTTGGCACAGGGCATCTGCTTTAACTCCCGATTCTGGGTCTGTTTTTCCCACAGGCAAAACGCCAGGTAGTGTGCGGAAAATCTTGCTTGCCGTCAGGGTTAACAGTGGCGATGGGCCCTGTGGCACGGCTTACGGAGGGAGTTACAGCCCAGTCTGAAGTCCGCAGCAGCGCAGTGTAGGATTTCTAGCGGTATTCGGAAGGCTCGCAGGGTCTCGATACGAAGGGAGAAGGGCCAAATTAATAAGATTTACTACATTGGCCAACCAATGGGATTTTCTGACGCACACCCTTGGCCATCAAGCTCCTGGGTATAGGGCATCTTGGGTAGTGGCAGAATGACCCGTCTTTTACAGAGAGGCAGATGGGCAGGTGTGCCCTCAGCCAGGATGGGTGACTGGTTTGAGTCTGAGCCCTGCCAGCCTGCCTGGTGCTGACCAGAGCCTGCTTCTGGATGGGGTCAGTCAGTGCTGGGCCCTCACCACGCTGCCTGAGACTCCTGAGGGGCTCGGGGCCTGGAGCCCCTGACTGAGACATCAAGTGAAAACTGAGTTTTCTCTCTTATTTATTTTTTCCCTCACCATGGATCTATGTGGTGAATGGGATTGCAGATAAATGGGATCCTCCTGTGGTCACAGGCTTCCTCTCCTCCCAACCCCTCCCCAGCTCCCTCCTTGCATAAGGGAGGGACAGGGAGGCCTGGGTGCATCCTTTAATAGGGCAGATTCGCACACCCAAGGGATGGGGTGTGTGCCAAGTGAGCCTGTGTGGGGCCATGAGGCCTGACACCTCCCCCTCCCACTGTGAGGGTTATAGAACTAGGAAGGCATCATTCAAAGGTCCTTTCATGATGCATAGGCTGAGGCAGGGAACCCCAGGGTACCCCAGACCTCCTAACAACCCCAGGGCTTCCTCCTCTTCTCAGAGAAAGATTCTGCCTCCCTACAAGGGCCAAGGCTGGCAGGTTCTGCCCCGGAGTCGCGATCAACCCTGCTGTATGCAGGGAAGGGGCCAGGCCCCAGAGATCAAAGCTGTCCTGCCCTTGGGGACCCAATGGCTGCCTTTGTCCTCAGCTGGTGGGTGAGACATTGTGAGAGAGACAGAGTGACCAGGATGTAGACAAGGCAAGGAGAGACAGCTTGCTGTGTGACCAGAAACAGATTATCTCGCCCTCTCTGGGCCTCAGTCTTCCTATTCATAGACAATAGGTCTGTTCACTAAGGCAGGACCTTGGACCTTTGTTTTCTCTACCTGCCCACTGTTGGATATCCGTGAATCCCACACTCAGGGTTCACCACCCCCCTCCCAGCTGTAGGACTTAAGTCGGACCGCCTCCTCGTGGGAGCCTCGGGCATCTCTGCTCACATCACGTGTAGCCCAAGCATCCAGGAAGTCGAGCTGCTGTTGTTCTTACAGGGAAACTGAAGCTCACAGAGGCTCAAAGAGGCTTCAAACCTTGTAACAACAGCTGCCAAAGCCGGAGTACCCGGCTCACTGTCTAACAGGTAAGGCTGGGTTCTGAGAGAGAGGCAGGAAGAGCCACCCTTTCTGCTCTGGCAGTTGGGCGGCAGCAAGGCAGGATTGGCTGTACTGAGCAGGACGCTGGGCCTCAGCCACGGTGCCCGCATGCCAGATTGCCAGGGCCTTGGAGGACGTGACCTTGGAGGAAAAGGCTTCCTGGACCCATGCACCTGCCATCTGTTGCCAAGATAACACATCTGTTCCACACCCCCTGTGACCCTGCAGGGTGGGGGCCTCCAGCACATGAGCTGGCCTGTCCTTGGCAGTCATCAAGTGGCCCTCACACCCGTCCCTCCGGGTTATCTCCAGCCATCTGCCTCAGAGCAGAGTCCATCAAGACCGTCCCCCAACACAGCCACAGAGACCCCCACTGTGGATGGGGTTACTGAGGCAGGCAAGCAGCTGGGGAGTGACCGCTCCTGGACACAGTGTTAGCTGAGGCTTGCTAGAGGATTGAGGACATGGAGCTCAGCCAGACCTAAGGCCCGGAGAAAGGGCAGAAGCTAGCGTCACCTCGTTTCCCTCAGCTGGCACCCCTCCACTACAGCCCTCTGAGCTCCCAGAGTCAGCCCCACGGGTGGGAGGCTCCCAGATGCAGGAGCCACATGGCCTTAGGACAGGAGGTGTGAGACATAGACCTGAGTTCAGGACTTCTCACCCATCTCACGGAGTTGAAAAGCATACTATTTAGGGAGATGCCTTCTGCTCTGCTGTGGCCCGGGAGAGGGGCTTGGC